AGGTTGAAAAGCACACGCACCGTTAAGAGAGGTTGGAAAAGCACACATACCGTTAAGAGAGGTTGGAAAAGCACACATACCGTTAAGAGAGGTTGGAAAAGCACACGCACCGTTAAGAGAGGTTGGAAAAGCACACATACCATTAAGAGAGGTTGGAAAAGCACACATACCGTTAAGAGAGGTTGGAAAAGCACACATACCGTTAAGAGAGGTTGGAAAAGCACACGCACCGTTAAGAGAGGTTGGAAAAGCACACGCACCGTTAAGAGAGGTTGGAAAAGCACACATACCGTTAAGAGAGGTTGGAAAAGCACACATACCGTTAAGAGAGGTTGGAAAAGCACACATACCGTTAAGAGAGGTTGGAAAAGCACACGCACCGTTAAGAGAGGTTGGAAAAGCACACGCACCGTTAAGAGAGGTTGGAAAAGCACACATACCGTTAAGAGAGGTTGGAAAAGCACACATACCGTTAAGAGAGGTTGGAAAAGCACACGCACCGTTAAGAGAGGTTGGAAAAGCACACATACCGTTAAGAGAGGTTGGAAAAGCACACGCACCGTTAAGAGAGGTTGGAAAAGCACACATACCGTTAAGAGAGGTTGGAAAAGCACACATACCGTTAAGAGAGGTTGGAAAAGCACACGCACCGTTAAGAGAGGTTGGAAAAGCACACGCACCGTTAAGAGAGGTTGGAAAAGCACACATACCGTTAAGAGAGGTTGGAAAAGCACACATACCGTTAAGAGAGGTTGGAAAAGCACACGCACCGTTAAGAGAGGTTGGAAAAAGCACACGCACCGTTAAGAGAGGTTGGAAAAGCACACATACCGTTAAGAGAGGTTGGAAAAGCACACATACCGTTAAGAGAGGTTGGAAAAGCACACGCACCGTTAAGAGAGGTTGGAAAAGCACACATACCGTTAAGAGAGGTTGGAAAAGCACACGCACCGTTAAGAGAGGTTGGAAAAGCACACATACCGTTAAGAGAGGTTGGAAAAGCACACATACCGTTAAGAGAGGTTGGAAAAGCACACATACCGTTAAGAGAGGTTGGAAAAGCACACATACCGTTAAGAGAGGTTGGAAAAGCACACGCACCGTTAAGAGAGGTTGGAAAAGCACACGCACCGTTAAGAGAGGTTGGAAAAGCACACATACCGTTAAGAGAGGTTGGAAAAGCACACATACCGTTAAGAGAGGTTGGAAAAGCACACGCACCGTTAAGAGAGGTTGGAAAAGCACACATACCGTTAAGAGAGGTTGGAAAAGCACACATACCGTTAAGAGAGGTTGGAAAAGCACACATACCGTTAAGAGAGGTTGGAAAAGCACACGCACCGTTAAGAGAGGTTGGAAAAGCACACGCACCGTTAAGAGAGGTTGGAAAAGCACACATACCGTTAAGAGAGGTTGGAAAAGCACACATACCGTTAAGAGAGGTTGGAAAAGCACACATACCGTTAAGAGAGGTTGGAAAAGCACACGCACCGTTAAGAGAGGTTGGAAAAGCACACGCACCGTTAAGAGAGGTTGGAAAAGCACACATACCGTTAAGAGAGGTTGGAAAAGCACACATACCGTTAAGAGAGGTTGGAAAAGCACACGCACCGTTAAGAGAGGTTGGAAAAGCACACATACCGTTAAGAGAGGTTGGAAAAGCACACATACCGTTAAGAGAGGTTGGAAAAGCACACATACCGTTAAGAGAGGTTGGAAAAGCACACGCACCGTTAAGAGAGGTTGGAAAAGCACACGCACCGTTAAGAGAGGTTGGAAAAGCACACATACCGTTAAGAGAGGTTGGAAAAGCACACATACCGTTAAGAGAGGTTGGAAAAGCACACATACCGTTAAGAGAGGTTGGAAAAGCACACATACCGTTAAGAGAGGTTGGAAAAGCACACGCACCGTTAAGAGAGGTTGGAAAAGCACACATACCGTTAAGAGAGGTTGGAAAAGCACACATACCGTTAAGAGAGGTTGGAAAAGCACACGCACCGTTAAGAGAGGTTGGAAAAGCACACGCACCGTTAAGAGAGGTTGGAAAAGCACACATACCGTTAAGAGAGGTTGGAAAAGCACACATACCGTTAAGAGAGGTTGGAAAAAGCACACGCACCGTTAAGAGAGGTTGGAAAAGCACACGCACCGTTAAGAGAGGTTGGAAAAGCACACATACCGTTAAGAGAGGTTGGAAAAGCACACATACCGTTAAGAGAGGTTGGAAAAGCACACGCACCGTTAAGAGAGGTTGGAAAAGCACACATACCGTTAAGAGAGGTTGGAAAAGCACACATACCGTTAAGAGAGGTTGGAAAAGCACACGCACCGTTAAGAGAGGTTGGAAAAGCACACATACCGTTAAGAGAGGTTGGAAAAGCACACATACCGTTAAGAGAGGTTGGAAAAGCACACGCACCGTTAAGAGAGGTTGGAAAAGCACACGCACCGTTAAGAGAGGTTGGAAAAGCACACATACCGTTAAGAGAGGTTGGAAAAGCACACATACCGTTAAGAGAGGTTGGAAAAGCACACGCACCGTTAAGAGAGGTTGGAAAAGCACACGCACCGTTAAGAGAGGTTGGAAAAGCACACATACCGTTAAGAGAGGTTGGAAAAGCACACGCACCGTTAAGAGAGGTTGGAAAAGCACACATACCGTTAAGAGAGGTTGGAAAAGCACAATACCGTTAAGAGAGGTTGGAAAAGCACACATACCGTTAAGAGAGGTTGGAAAAGCACACATACCGTTAAGAGAGGTTGGAAAAGCACACGCACCGTTAAGAGAGGTTGGAAAAGCACACGCACCGTTAAGAGAGGTTGGAAAAGCACACATACCGTTAAGAGAGGTTGGAAAAGCACACATACCGTTAAGAGAGGTTGGAAAAGCACACGCACCGTTAAGAGAGGTTGGAAAAGCACACATACCGTTAAGAGAGGTTGGAAAAGCACACATACCGTTAAGAGAGGTTGGAAAAGCACACGCACCGTTAAGAGAGGTTGGAAAAGCACACGCACCGTTAAGAGAGGTTGGAAAAGCACACATACCGTTAAGAGAGGTTGGAAAAGCACACATACCGTTAAGAGAGGTTGGAAAAGCACACATACCGTTAAGAGAGGTTGGAAAAGCACACATACCGTTAAGAGAGGTTGGAAAAGCACACGCACCGTTAAGAGAGGTTGGAAAAGCACACGCACCGTTAAGAGAGGTTGGAAAAGCACACATACCGTTAAGAGAGGTTGGAAAAGCACACATACCGTTAAGAGAGGTTGGAAAAGCACACGCACCGTTAAGAGAGGTTGGAAAAGCACACGCACCGTTAAGAGAGGTTGGAAAAGCACACATACCGTTAAGAGAGGTTGGAAAAGCACACATACCGTTAAGAGAGGTTGGAAAAGCACACGCACCGTTAAGAGAGGTTGGAAAAGCACACATACCGTTAAGAGAGGTTGGAAAAGCACACATACCGTTAAGAGAGGTTGGAAAAGCACACGCACCGTTAAGAGAGGTTGGAAAAGCACACATACCGTTAAGAGAGGTTGGAAAAGCACACATACCGTTAAGAGAGGTTGGAAAAGCACACGCACCGTTAAGAGAGGTTGGAAAAGCACACGCACCGTTAAGAGAGGTTGGAAAAGCACACATACCGTTAAGAGAGGTTGGAAAAGCACACATACCGTTAAGAGAGGTTGGAAAAGCACACGCACCGTTAAGAGAGGTTGGAAAAGCACACGCACCGTTAAGAGAGGTTGGAAAAGCACACATACCGTTAAGAGAGGTTGGAAAAGCACACGCACCGTTAAGAGAGGTTGGAAAAGCACACATACCGTTAAGAGAGGTTGGAAAAGCACACATACCGTTAAGAGAGGTTGGAAAAGCACACATACCGTTAAGAGAGGTTGGAAAAGCACACATACCGTTAAGAGAGGTTGGAAAAGCACACGCACCGTTAAGAGAGGTTGGAAAAGCACACGCACCGTTAAGAGAGGTTGGAAAAGCACACATACCGTTAAGAGAGGTTGGAAAAGCACACATACCGTTAAGAGAGGTTGGAAAAGCACACGCACCGTTAAGAGAGGTTGGAAAAGCACACATACCGTTAAGAGAGGTTGGAAAAGCACACATACCGTTAAGAGAGGTTGGAAAAGCACACGCACCGTTAAGAGAGGTTGGAAAAGCACACGCACCGTTAAGAGAGGTTGGAAAAGCACACATACCGTTAAGAGAGGTTGGAAAAGCACACATACCGTTAAGAGAGGTTGGAAAAGCACACATACCGTTAAGAGAGGTTGGAAAAGCACACATACCGTTAAGAGAGGTTGGAAAAGCACACGCACCGTTAAGAGAGGTTGGAAAAGCACACGCACCGTTAAGAGAGGTTGGAAAAGCACACATACCGTTAAGAGAGGTTGGAAAAGCACACATACCGTTAAGAGAGGTTGGAAAAGCACACGCACCGTTAAGAGAGGTTGGAAAAGCACACATACCGTTAAGAGAGGTTGGAAAAGCACACATACCGTTAAGAGAGGTTGGAAAAGCACACATACCGTTAAGAGAGGTTGGAAAAGCACACGCACCGTTAAGAGAGGTTGGAAAAGCACACGCACCGTTAAGAGAGGTTGGAAAAGCACACATACCGTTAAGAGAGGTTGGAAAAGCACACATACCGTTAAGAGAGGTTGGAAAAGCACACGCACCGTTAAGAGAGGTTGGAAAAGCACACGCACCGTTAAGAGAGGTTGGAAAAGCACACGCACCGTTAAGAGAGGTTGGAAAAGCACACATACCGTTAAGAGAGGTTGGAAAAGCACACGCACCGTTAAGAGAGGTTGGAAAAGCAACATACCGTTAAGAGAGGTTGGAAAAGCACACATACCGTTAAGAGAGGTTGGAAAAGCACACATACCGTTAAGAGAGGTTGGAAAAGCACACGCACCGTTAAGAGAGGTTGGAAAAGCACACGCACCGTTAAGAGAGGTTGGAAAAGCACACATACCGTTACTAGAGGCTGGAAAAACTCTGAGGGAATGAGACGCATGGCGGATTGGATGGCCGCGATTGCAGCATCTGCCTGATCTGGACGGCTGGACGCGAGCCCCACTGGTCCAGTCAGAATCTGGAGATAAATTTCAGGTGTGGCGACACAAGCAAAAGAGAGCAGAGGAGAGGGGAGGAGAGGCAGAGGTCACAATGGACTCTCCAGTCTCCCCTCGTGTTTTTGAGGCACCTAAAAAATAGCTCCCCCCATGTGATTTTAAGGATCCAGCAAAGCACATTACCTAGCCGCTGCTGCTTGTCAAAGCATTTCGTCAAAAGCTCCACGTGCCTCAATTGAAATCGAGTTTCCTAGCCGCTGCTGCTACCATACCTTAGCCACAACGACCGGCTCCGCGGCGAGTGTGGCAGCTACCTCATACGCCCGGCGCTGCCACGCCCTTATGAGCTCCTGCCAGCCAGTACAGGGAAAAGGGCAGCGCGGATTCAAAATCATCTCATGGGCCTATGAACTCATAAGGGCGGAATCAGAGTGTGCATTAGAGCCGGCAGTGCAAGACACATCCCACCGTACACATGGTTACGCGAGTTCTAGCTATTACAGCTGTTTTTTTCCTACTTGCCTAAACTGTCTCCTGTACTGCACTCACTGGAACTATGTCCGACGATCTGCATGAGTGCAGGCAGGGGAAGACATATCCCACAATACATATGGGGGATCCGGACCGGAAGAACGGGCATGAGGAAACTGGTCTAAGCGCTTCCCAAACTTCCGGGCATGAGGAAACTGTGACCCTGAAATAAATAAAGCCCTCTTTTGAGTCGACTCATGAGTCACCTCAAAACCCTTGACTTCGTACTGTAAATCCTCAACCCTAGATCGGCAGCCCTAGACCACCGAGTGGAAAATCCTAAACCTCACCTCACATGTTATCATGCTCAATCGCACTGACTCCCCTCCCCCTCTCACCTGCCACACCACGTCTCCCCTTCTCCCCCCTGCAACGAGCCTGTGGTGCGCCAACAGCATCACCCGTGCCGCCACACCCACCCTCTCTGGCCCTGGCCAGCTAGCCCTGTGCGGCTGTGCCTGCCTGCCACCACCAGCTAATGCTGTGGGGAACCAAACCTGACCGCACTGAATTGCACTTAACCACACTGTTTTGCTCACCTGTCACACCACGTCTCTCCTCCTAGCCCCCTGCAACGAGCCTATGGTGTGCCAGCAGCATCACCTGTGCCGCCACGCCCACCCTCTCTGCCACAGCCCCTGTGCCTTCCACCACCAGTTAATCGTGCAAAACCACATCCAATCCCACTGAACCACACCCAATTGCACGGAATTGCTCACCTGCCACACCACGTCTCTCCTCCTCCCCCCTGCAACAAGCTTGTGGTGCGCCAGCAGCATCACCCGTGCCGCCACGCCCACCCTCTCTGCCACGGCCCCCGTGCCTGCCACCACCAGCAGCGCCTGCCCCAGCAGCTGCGGGGGAGGCAGGCGGTCCACAGCAGCCTCTGGCGACGCTGCTGCCTCAGGGGCGTCTCTGGAGGTGTGTGAGGAGGGAAGGGGGGGGGGGGGGGGGGAGAGGCAGTTGGAGGGAGGAAGCGAGGAGTCAGGAAGGGGGGTAAAGCGGAGTGTGAGTTGGAGCCTTAGTACAACCCAGCCACGCCTGCCAGCACTGCCACGGCCCCTGTGCCCGCCACCACCAGCAGCGCCTGCCCCAGCAGCTGCGGGGGAGGCAGGCGGTCCACAGCACATTCGGGGGTCGCTGCTGCCTCAGGAGCGTCCCTGGGAGGGGCTAACACTGGGACAAGGGAAGGCGGAAGTTGAGGAAAGAAGAACAAGAAAAGAACGAATGGTTTTTGAAGGGGAATGGAGGAATTAGAAAGGGGAATGAGATTGCAACGCTCACGAAGAGCGCAACGCTCGCCCTGAGCGGATGGCAGCAGCTGCTGCCATGTCTTGGAGAGGCGGCAGGGAGAGCAAAAGAGTGTCTAGCAGGGAAGTCAGATAGGGGGATGGCGAGACGGCGAGACGGCGGATGAAGCCAAACAGGTCAGCAAAAGAGTGTCCAGCAGGGAAGTCAGATAGGGGGGATGGTGTGGCGAGACGGCGTGGAAGCCAAACAGGTCAGGAGGGTGTGAGAGGGAGAGACTTTCTCACCGTGAGCTCATGGCAGCAGCTGCTGCCATGTCTTCAAGAGGCGGCAGGGAGAGAGACAGAGCGTCTAGCAGGAAGGCATTTAGAAACAGGTGCCTCGAAACAAGGTACTCACCCTGTGCTGACAGCTGCAGCAGCAGTAAGGTCCTCGAGAGGCGGTAGGGAGAGGGAGAGCGCGTCCAGCAGGGAGTCAGATAGGGGGGATGGTGCCTCAAGGCACGGTAATCAACTTACCCAGTACTGATGGCAGCAGCAGCAGCAAGGTCCTCGAGAGGCGGCAGGGAGAGGGAGAGCGCGTCCAGCAGGGAGTCAGAGAGGAGCGGCGAGATGGCATGGAAACGAGCCACCATGGTGTGTGCTGCCTTGCGCACTGAAGATAACGGATGCCACAGCAGGTGCACGGCCAACTGCAAGGGTCAGGGGTGTATGGGAGTGTATGGGGGCGCATAAGGGTGCATACAGGGATGCAGATGAAGGGAGGGCCGAGATGGCGTGAAAGCGAGCCACCATGGTGTGTGCTGCCTTGCGCACTGAAGAGAGCAGAGCGGGTGTCACAGCAGGTGCATCGCCAACTGAAAGGGGCTGTGGGGGAAGAGAGGGGATCAGGGAGGAAGGGGGGTCGAGGAAGAAGTCAGGGGGAAAGGGGTGCACGCACTCACGTGAATGCAGAGCAAAGCGCAGCACATCGAGTGCATGGAAAGAGCGCCAAGAAAGTAAGAGGCGCAGTACATTGCTCTGGTGCTAGTGCTCACGAGAATGCAGAGCAGTGCAGAGCACATTAGGTGCAGAGCTTACCCGGCAGAGCTCGTTGGTGCTGACCGCTGCTGCATGGCCACTGCTGACACTGGCAATGGGGAGAGGGAGAGCGTGTGGAAGGGGAGTGTGTGGAAGGGGAGAGTGTGTGGGGAGGGGAGAGTGTGAGGGAAGGGGGATAGTGTGTGGGAGGGGAGAGTGTGTGGGAGGGGTATAGTGTGTGGGAGGGGGCAGAGAGTGTGGGAGGGAGGAGGAGAGAGTGTGTAGGAGGGGGGAGAGCGTGGGAAGAGATGCAAGGAGGACAGAAGGGAAAGTGGCCGTTCAAGGGATCTCCAGTCAAAATGCAAGTCACTGGAGACACCGGGATAGAGTGAGGAGGCAGAGGGAAGAATGGCATGGAGGAGGAGAGGGTTTAGCGTTGAGGGTCTCGGGTAAGGTTTTAGAGTCAGTGAGTGAGAGATAATACCTGGCTGAAAGGTGCAGAAGCACCACTTCCACCAGCCTGCACCAGATTAAGCCGGCACCACCAGGTGAAGCCTCTACTGAATGAAACCCGCACCAGGTGGCCCATATCCATACCTGGCCGAATGGTGCAGCAGCACCACTTCCACCAGCTCCAGCAGCGCTAGGAGATCCTCCTCTGCAGTCACCTTGGGCACCTGTGATCACAAGAGTCAAGACGTGTGACGAGCGGTTCTAGTTAGCGCGTTGATTGATACAACAGGGCCTAGGGGGCAGGGTGAGGGTTGTTGACAAACTGGAAGAGGGGAGAGGAAAGGAGGGGATACTGGAGAGACGAGAGGCGGAGCGTCGAGAAACTACAGGAGATAAGTGGAGAGGGGGACGAGGAGGAAGGAACAGAAGACGTTTTTAGGGACTAAAGGTGCTCCATCCATGCATTCTTAAGAGAAAAGGATGCATGGGATGGGACGATAAGCGGAGGAGGTGAGTGAAGGAAGGGTAGCGTACAATGGAGGTGGAGAGGAAGGGTGGGTCGCCCTGCAGCACCAGCTGCCACACCTTCTCCTTGCCTAGCTTCTCCTCTGATGTCACACATGCACGTACACATGCACATGCACACAACAGTGAATGAGAGGGGGAGAGTGAGGTGGGTGAAGGAAGAGAGTACGATGCATGGAGGTGGAGAGGAAGGGTGGATTAACTTGCAGCACCAGCTGCCACACCTTCTCCTTGCCTAGCTTCTCCTCTGATATCACTCATGTGCACGTACGCACGCATGGACACACATATGCACATGCGCGTACAAGCATCCATGCACGCGCACGCGCACACACAGATAAACAAGCACATGCAAGCACGCGCGCGCAAGCGCGCGCACACACACACACATACACATACACATACACACACACACATACACAAACACACACACACACACACACACACACACACACACACACACACACACACACACACACACACACACATACACATACAGCACAAGGCAACAGGTGATTGAGGGCAGGCAGACGCGGCAAGCAGACAGGACAGGCACAAGTGGATGGACGGAGAAGCACGGGAGGGAAGCAGACAGCACCAAGAATCACCACACCTGAATCACAAGGAAAATACTCTCGAGTTTTAGAGTCGACTGAAATTGTCAACTGGCTGCCTGGCTGGCACAATACCTGTACCGAGGTCGAGCGCGGCAACAGATGCAGCCAGCAGCAGCGCGTACACCCCATTGAGCCGCATGGTGGGCTGTGAGGGCTCGCAGGGTGATGTGATTGCATGTACGATACCAAACAGGACACCAGAGGGAGTACACCAGATGCCGCACCTGATCCCAGGTCGAGAGCAGCAACGGATGCAGCCAGCAGCAGCGCATACACCCCATCGAGCCGCATGGTGGGCTTTGACACTCCACTCTTCACCAGCGTCACAAGGGCGTCCACACATGGGACGAGCTGAGGGGGACGAGAGAGGAGACGGGAAGATGAAGGAGGGACAAGAGTTATAAGCCACTCCATTTCTCACCCGCGTCGTGAGGGCATTCACGCAAGGGACGAGCTGAGGGGGGATAGAAGGGAAGAGGGGACTAGAAGCGGGAGACAGGGATGATAGGGGATAGGGGGAGGGTGGGGGTTGGGTACAAAACGATCACAAGATCAGTGTCTTGCCTTCGTCTCTCAACTCTCTGCATTGAAAGAAAGCGTGAAACAAACGTGAGGGCTGCGGGACGCAAACTTCCTCTCAGTCCTCCCTCTCCCTCTCCCTCTCTTCCACTCCCTCCCTTTCTCTCCATCCCTTCCTCTCCATCTCACCTTCTCTCGCACATGCAGGTACCGAAACGCCAGCCGTCGGAACCTGCAGGTGCTCCCAACCTCTCCCTCACTATCACCCCCCCCTCTTCCTCACGTTCCTCCCCCTTCCTCTGATTTCTTCTCACCTTCTCTCGCACGTGCGGGTTCCGGAACGCCAGCCGCAGGCACCTCAGCGTGCACCGCCTGAGCGTCTCCTTCTCCTTCGCCAGCCTGGCAGTGACGAATGCTGACGTGGCCGCCGGCGCCTGCCTTGCTGTCCGGGCGAGCCACTCGCCTAGTGCTGAGAGGATGGAGGCAAGAACCTCCTCATTGGCTGAAATTGGAAGGGAGGGGAATGAGGAGTGCAACGGATTAGAATTCATGGGGAAAGAAGAGAGGACGGGGAGGAAGGGCGGAGGGGCGGGTGGGAGGAGACAGTCGGGAGGAGTCATTGCAAATGCTGTTGGCTGGGTGGCAAGGTAAGCAGTGGTGCAAGAATGTTGGAAGAGAGATTAGTTCTGAGGCGCCTCAAAACTAGGTAAGTAGTGGTGCAAGAATGTTGGAAGAGAGAATACAATACATCATACAGGGCACTTACTGTCGCCAGCATAGGCCCCCATCAGGAACTCTGCCACGTCAGCAGCGACAGCTGGCGCCATGGCATTGGGCCCCGGCGCGGAGAACGAGGAGAGGGCCCGCAGTGCCTGGTAGACGCCCACCTTCTGGTAGGCTGACGTCAGCTTGCCCTCCTTGCCTGAAGCATTCAGGATTTTGGAGAGAGGGGGGGGGGGGGGGGGGGAGAGAAGGAAAGGGGCGGAGGGGGAGTAAGGGGGGGAGAGGGGGGGTGCTGGGGGTGAGGGGTGTGGAAAGGAGGAGGAGAGGACCTGCAGTGCAATTCTTGTCTGATAGGATCACATCAGCATCAGCTTGCCCTCCTTGCGTGCACGAGGCAGTCTATTTTTGAGGCGCCTCAAAAATAGACTCATCAGCATCAGCTTGCCCTCCTTGCGTGCACGAGGGAGTCTATTTTTGAGGCGCCTCAAAAATAGACTCATCAGCATCAGCTTGCCCTCCTTGCGTGCACGAGGGAGTCTATTTTTGAGGCGCCTCAAAAATAGACTCATCAGCATCAGCTTGCCCTCCTTGCGTGCACGAGGGAGTCTATTTTTGAGGCGCCTCAAAAATAGACTCATCAGCATCAGCTTGCCCTCCTTGCGTGCACGAGGGAGTCTATTTTTGAGGCGCCTCAAAAATAGACTCATCAGCATCAGCTTGCCCTCCTTGCGTGCACGAGGGAGGGGAGGAGGAGGGGAACGAGGGGAGAGAGGTTGAGGGAACAGGAACGTGGGGTGAGGGACGGACAGGACAGGTCCCTCGTTTTCAAATCCACCTGATCTTTCACCTGAGGTTATTCCCTTCCGTCCAAGAGCTCACCTCAGAGAACTTCCTGAAAGAAACTTCAACACGGCGCGAGCGAATGCTGTTGGGGTCGCTGCACTGAGTGGGCTCTCAATAACTTGAGGCATATTCGTAATCTATCAGAAATACGTTGAGGGGTCACCCGCCAGCATCCCCTTGAGGCACGGAAACCTGGTTCGGATACTGTCAGAGTCGCTGCACCACACTGCTGGGCTGCTGCATGAAGAGAGTTTGTCCAAGACACAATAAAAACCTCCCACCTAGAAGCTCGCCTGCCAGAACCCCCTAGAGGCAAGCGAACATAATCCTGATGCTGTCAGCATCGCTGCACTGCTTGGCTGCTGCAAGAAGAGAGTTCCCCCAACACACAGTTGGCTGCTTGGCTCCCACCTAGAAGCTCGCCTGCCAGAACCCCCTAGAGGTAAGCAAACATGTTCCGGATGCTGTCAGAGTCGCTGCACTGCACTGCTTGGCTGGTGCATGAAGAGAGTCCTCAAAGGCACCATAGACACCCTCCCTCCCTCCCACGTAGAAGCTCACCTGCCAGCACCCCCTTGAGGTAAGCAAACATGGTCCGGATGCTGTCAGAGTCGCTGCACTGCTTGGCTGCTGCTGCCACCACTGCGATAGCTTCTTCGCGTGTGGCTGCATTCTGGTGCCGCGCCTGCAGGGCCAGAGTGGGCAGCAGCTCCGGAGCATAGGCACTGAGGTCTAGCGTCACGGTTGAGAGCAGGTAGCCTGTTGGTGGGGGGGGGGGGGGGGGGGGGGGGAAGAGAAGCGGAGACGCAAGGCATGTCAGCGGCACCAGTGCAATCGCCTCCTCTATTGTCCCTGCATTCTGATGCCATGTCTGCAGCCTGCAGGGCTAGAGTCGGGAGCAACTCCGGAGCATAGGCACTGAGGTCGAGCTTCACGGTTGATAGCAGGTAGCCTGTGAGGGGGGAGGGGAAGGGACGGGGGGTGGACAGAGAGGTTGGGCATTTCAGCACCGCCAGCCACTGCAATTGCTTCCTCCCTTGTGGCTGCATTCTCGTGCTGCCTCGCCTGCAGGCCAGCCAATAGCAGGGAGTTCCGGTGCGTAGGCACTAAGGCCTAGCGTCACAGTTGAGAGCAGGTAGCCTGTGAAGGGGGAAGTCAGGGAGGGTACAAGTAGACCATTGATCACTACCACAGCATCTGTCCTTCCCCTTTCCCTCTTCACTCTCTCACTCCCTCACTCCCTCTCTCTCACTCCCTCTCTCTCATTCCCTCACTCCCTCTCTCTCACTCCCTCTCCCACCAACAGCGTGCATGATAAGCTCACTCACTCACTCACTCACACACACACACTCTCTCTCACCCACTTACCAACAGCGTCCATGATGAGCTCGGGGTTCCTCATGAGAATTTTGGCAGCCGTGGGGAAGAGCGCCCCCTTGAAATCGGCGTGTCGCACCGCGTGCAGCAGAGGGGAGAACGCCTCTGACACCACACACACGCTCTCACTCCCTCTCCCCCCCACTCACCAACAGCATCCATGATGAGCTCGGGATTCCGCTTGAGCATCTTGGCAGCTGTGGGGAACAACGCCCCCTTGAAATCGTCATGCCGCACTGCCTGCAGCAGAGGGGCGAACGCCTCTGACGCCACGTGGGGGGGACGCTCCCTGCTGGTCAGCACCAGCTTGGAGTACGTTTCCAGGAAGAATGTCTGAGGAAGCGGAATACCGGGAAAGAAAGTAGGGAGAGGGGGCATGAGCGTCCAAAGGCCTGCAGCGGAGGGGCGAACGCCTCTGACTCTGACTCCATGTGGGGGGGACGCTCCCTGCTGGTCAACACCAGCTTGGAATAGGTTTCTAGAAAGAATGCCTGGGGGGGGGGGGGGAGGAGGGAGAGACACGCGAGTAGTGGGGGGGGGGTTGGGGGAAGGAGGAAGGGAAGTTGGAGGTAGGAGGGAGCGAAGGCAGAGAGCATGCCGTGAGACCTAGATTACTTTAAAACGTTCTCTCATGAGTCAAAAGAGCTCCAGGTTTTGGAAAAACTCCAAATTTGATTGACAAGTACCCAACCATCCCAGTGATCATCCCACCTACCTTGGCCTCTGAAGCGATATCAAGTGCTGCTGCTGCTCCATCTCCTGCCGTTCCATTGGCTACACCCTCTGCCCCTGTGGCACCTCCTGCTTCGCCTGCCTTGGTCTCGAGAAAGTAGGTGAGAAGAGGGTGGGCGATGCCGACTGTGGTAAGGGTGACAGGCGTGGACTTCACTTCTGCCAGGTATGGCGGTGCAAGGGAGGGCACCTGGTAGAGCAAGGGCGGTAGGAAGAGGTAGGGAGAAAAGGGAAGGGGGGGCGCGGGGGAAGGAAATTTTGAAGTCATGTTAAAAATGGTGATGCCGACGGTGGCAGGAGTGACAGGCGTGGACTTCACTTCTGCCAGGTAAGCTAATGCGAGGGAGGGCACCTGGGAGAGCAAGGGCGGTAGGAAGAGGTAGGGAGAGCAGGGAGAAGAGTGGGGGGGGGGAAGAGGAAAAATTGAAGTCACGCTAGAGCTGGTGATGCCGGCTGTGGTGGTAAGGGTGACAGGCGTGGACTTCACTTCTGCCAGGTATGCTGGTGCACGGGAGGGAGGGCACCTGGGAGAGCGAGACACTTAGTGGGAAGAGGGGGTGGGGGGGGGAAGATGTTGACATCACATCAGGGTTGAATCTGCACCTCCTTTGGAAAGGGATGCACATGCGATTCTTATTCAGGATCTGACGTCAGGGGTCATGTCAGGGTTTGTGTACAGCGGGAACTCTTGAACCGAAGCCCAAACGGCATTATTTTTTTAGGTTAGGGTTGCACTCACTGTCCCACCAAGCATCTCATTGACGGCATGCAGTGAAGCAGTTTTCTCTTGAGACGTCTCAAAAGTAACCTTTTAAAGGTAGGGTTGCACTCACTGTCCCAAGCATCTCATTGACTGCATGCAGTGAAGCCCGCTTCATCCTCGGCTCATCTCCCAATGCCACCGTCAGCAGCGTCCCCTGCGCCACTACGAGACGAGAGAACGCCGCCCGCACCCCCACGATCGCATCCCCCCTCTCCCGCAGCAGCAGGCACGACCACTTGAGCAGCTTGTACCGCACCAAGCCGGCCACCGAGGCTGACACCGAGCCTGGCTTGGCGCAGGCTTGGACAAGAGCTCCGGCGAACGCCTTGACAAAGGCAGTTTCGCGCTTGAGGGCTTTCACTATGACTCGCTCGACTGAGGCTTGAGAGCGACGGTCGACGTAGATGGGGAGAGTCTGGAAGATGAGGGAGGCGAGGCGAGGGGCGGCAGAGGCCACATCCACGGCTGGGACAGGGGAGGGATGGTGGAATGGGAAGGGAAGGAAAAGAGGGTTTGGTTATGGCTCGCTCGCTCAACTGATGCTTGGGAGCGACGGTCGACGTAGATGGGGAGAGTCTGGAAGATGAGGGAGGCGAGGCGAGGGGCGGCAGAGGCCACATCCACGGCTGAGACAGGGGAGGGATCGGGGAATGGGAAGGGAAGGAATAGAGGTTCTGGTTATGGCTCGCTCGCTCAACTGATGCTTGGGAGCGACGGTCGACGTAGATGGGGAGAGTGTGGAAGATGAGGGAGGCGAGACGAGGTTCAGCAGAAGCCACACCCACGGCTGAGAAAGGGAGGGAATAGGGGTGTGGGAAAGGGATGGGAAAGGGATGGGGAAGGGATGGGGAAGGGCTTTGGTTATGGCTCGTTTGTTAAAGGCTTATGAGCGACGGTCGGAGTCGATGGGAAGGGTCTGGAGGATGAAGGAGGTGAGACGAGGGGCTGCTGATGCTACATCCACGGCTGAGAAACGGGAAGATGCGGGGGGGAAATGGTGGGGGGGTTGACGGCAGATTATGGCGGGGGGGAAGGAGAGGGACTGGGAAAATCGTGGAAATGCTATATCTCAGAAACAGTCAGGGAGGATAAGAAGTTCTCATTCTGGACAACGGCTGTCACCATGGAACTTGCACGCTACTGTTACCAGGCAACGGCGATGAAGGCCGGAATTTGTTTACCACTGGCATCGCAGCCTTACCATGAAATTCAGTCGATCCAGTGTAGAACCCTCCAAAACCCCTCGCTCAGTCAGATTCGCTCATCCCTAGTTAGTCAATGTCGCAATTACACAAAATGCGTAAAAGAAATGCGTAAACGTCCGTCTGATTCGTTGAATCTCGGATCTCATTGCCAGAAACCCTGAAATCTGCCATCAGGCACCATCAACCTTGTGCCGGATCCATCCACCATGAACACCATTCCTGCATCCGTAACATCTCTTTAGCACGTTTTAGCGTGATTAGGAAATGAATGTTATAATAACGGACCTTTGCTGTCCAGCGCTGACGAGATAGAGGCGTCGAACACACCGACACGGTCCTTCACCGAACAGGAGCACACTCTAGCCTCGGCAAGCTCCAGGATCGGCACCATGTCGATCACCGGAAGAGCTTCGGCATTCGCTTCGGCTTCCGAGCCTGACTCTTTGTGGACAGGCTCGGAAGCCGCTGGAACTTCCGAAGCTGGAGCTGATGCGTCCACCATGGCTGCTGCTAATCAGGCTGTGAAGCCTGCTGCACCGTGCGACGAAAGAAATGCTTCGGTCGCTAGAGAATGGAGAGGCCAAGAGAGATTTAGGACATTGCTAGACCGAAACGGTGACCTGGTCTAAGGAGCCCGACTAATAGAAGAGAGCTCGTGGCACCTGATACGGATGGTGGAGGGTGTCAGTAGGAATCTGACATCTGGGAGCAGCAACAGCAACAACCTGGCGGGAGACGTACTCAATATTACTTAACTAGAATTGTTTCTAGCCAACTGTTAGGTACATCTGTAAACGTAGTAACATGTGATACAATCTGCATGTGCAATTTCTTTTTCAATGCACGTACTTGAAGATCAGGTTGAAAATATTTTTATTTTAATAATTGATTCGAATTTTAATGAGAGGAAACTATGAGGAAGAGCATCTCTACAACAAAAGCCCTATACAATAACAAATGCCACATTTCTGCAGGAAAACGCTAATAACGTTTTTATTTGACTTATTTTGAGCATTTTGATGAATTTATATCCAATCATATGCGCATCCACACGTGGTGACACGAGCAAGATTTGCATTTTCAATATAGACTATAACTACCTTATAGTAGGTGGTGTACCATATACCCAGGATCGAAATCTTCACTTCCACTATCACTAGGCCCCACAAATCCCTGGGCAGGGCTTCGATACGAGGGGCGGACGAACAAGGACGTGGTTCTGACTTGGCAGGGGGGCCAGCAGCGATGACGTGTATGGCATCAGTCTTCCAAGAGCCTTCATTTTCTGCCAGCTCCTTCGGCTTGAACTCTGGTTTGGTTGGGAGACTCTCGAGGGGGAGGCCAAGCGAATCGAAGTTCAACGCGCGAAACTGTCACAACTGACCAAACGAAATCACCTTTCGCCAGCGTGGAGGCTCGGCAGCACCAGATCGGAGGCTCGGCATCATTCCTTGCCCTTTCTTGAATATTTCACATTTCAAGCCTCTCGCAAAAACCACCGTCCTCAAGTACTCGCCGCTGGTAATTCTTGCAGCCAGCCATGGCGGGATGTGCCTCATGCCATTAGATTAGAGCCAGACCGCCCTGTTACAGTACACGTCATTCCCAACCTCGTCTTTGCTGAGTCATGTATGTCGGAAACATAGGGTGGTTGTGGATATTCCGCACGTGCGCTTGTGTATAAAAGATGACCGCAGCTTAGCAGTTGCTCCCAGGCGCCGACTGACGATCACAGACTGATACTCATTGGTTTCCCACTCAGCCCCTTCGACTCCGTGCCACACGAGCGCACAGGAGGGAATCAATTTCTAGCTAATAGCTACCTAGGGTGTCGTCGGTAAAGTCGAGTCGGCGTCAAGTCCTGAAGCGACCATCAGCTGGAATTTGGCTGGAGGAATCGGCAGTTGCAGAATTTCTGTTGAAATTCCTCAAATTGCCATGGCTTCTGTCAGGGAGAACGATCAGCTGGACAAGCTCGTGGTGTTCCTCGCGAAGCGCGACGGCATCGACAAGCTGGTGAAGACGTTTCAGTATGTCTTCAAGCTCGCGCACTGGCAACTCAGCCGAACGAACAAAGGTACGCATTGACGTTGCTTCAGGGGAGCAGCACCCGGCATTTGCCGTGACGTTCGTTTTTCCTTTCTTTCTTTCGCTGAACATTGTCAGGCCCATGGCCTACCAGGGTGTCTCCACAATCCCGTTAACCGTTTTTTATTTCCAATCCTGCTTGGTTTCTCGCAGATTTGGCCGACCGTGCTCAGAAGTTTGAGATTGGCTGTGGGCTAAGCCGCAAGGCTTTTCGACTGGGTCGTTTTTTAACTGGTTTCAACAACCTCCGGACGACCGAATTCTCGGACTGGAAGGTGAGTGCCCTGTCATTGGAGAACATGCGAACTGTCCTATCGGACTGTCCAGGACCATTTGTTGATTCATTGTTTCCTTTGTGCATCAATGAGATGGCCGGTGCCTATGCTTTTTTTTTTTACCCTCTACATTTGTTTGCCTGTGCCCTGACCGTGCCTCAGAAGCATTTTCCTATGTTTTCGTTTTCTCTCCATCCTTATCATGTCCCCCGTTCAGGTGACAACTCTCTCTGTGGTCGGAAGCGCTGGTGAAATGGTGTATTTCTTTTTTGATCACCTCACGTGGATGTCGAAAGTTGGCCTGCTCGATCCAAAATTAGCAGGTAAATTACCCGGTTAACATCTATGCCCTATTGTTCCTTCGTGACGTGTCCAAATCTGACAGTTATTTTGGTGGCCGAAAATTCTTCAACCTTGCCTGCCCCATGATTGACGTGGCGTCCCTTCGTTCCTCCCCCCCCCCCCCCTCCAGCCAAGACCGCGTATATCTCAGCCTATGGCGAGTCCGTTCTGTACCTGTGTTTCATCTCCCTGGACATCATCATGATCAAGAGGGGCATGGAGCAGGAGAAGCAGCTCCAGGCGAAGCTCCAGGAGCTGCACCAGCGAGCAGAGACCCTTGCGTTAACAGCAAAGAACAGTCCCCGCCATGGGAAGAGCAGCGGTGACGACGGCACCGACAGCAGCACATGTGCGTTCAGCAACGATGCGTCCCGGCGAAGCAGCTTCGAGAGTCATGACTGCGGGAAGAGCAACAGCAGCCAGGGAAGTGAAGGCGAGAATGGCTGGCTCGCTGCAGCTGCACCAGAGGGGAAGACTGCTCCTGCTGCTGCAGTTGCAGGTGGAGGGCTTGGAAGCCACAACTTGCCGCTGCTGTGTACATGCAAAGAGGCCTGCATTGAAGAATTGAGAAAGCTGGAAGGTGAAGCCATGAAGATAAAGATTGCGCTGAGTTCCATCCGAATGGAGAGGCTCATGCGTGTGCTGAGCATTGCAGGGCAGTTTGGAGATCTCTTGATTTCCGTCTCTCAAGTGGAGCCGAATCCGGTGTGCTGCCACCCACTTACCTTGGGCTTGAGCGGATTGCTCTCAGCATGGACGGGCTGGTACCGTGTGTGGCCGGCCAAGTAGGATTTGGTATTATAGTTGCCTAATAAATCGCTCTGCAGTGTTCTATGGTTTGTATTGTATTCCTGTCAAATCCTGTCAATGACTGTTCATGCACCTCTCTTGCTTGTTGAAAAGTGGGCACAATGCGCTCCTCACCAGCTTCATGGTTATCAGCTTCTTGCGAAGAGCAATTCCATCGCATTCCAGCTTCACATCTGCCATCTGCACCTGCAACGAGGCAATCTGCCGGGGGCGAGGATGGTGGGGATTTGTATGATGTTGCATTGCGAAGAGTAGAAGTAACTTTATGCGAAACGAAAGCAGATTTGGCACAGGCGAGGTTTGTCACCGTCGTTTTCGTCGCCGTAACACCGTCCACCGTTTCGCAGACCGAATTTGCGTTTCCAGTCGGTCGCACTTACGAGCTTCCCGAGGTCCCACCGGACGGAAGGACCTCCCCAGCGTACTGTACAGCAATTGGGGCAGGGGGAGGTACCATGAGGAGTGCCCCGGCTATGGCTATAATCAGGCGAAGTGGTAGTTGTTGAAGAGGCCCAGTTCTCAGGGTGGGAAAAATATGTTTTCTCAACCCGTATCGCCCCAACAAGTTCCCACCACATTGTGGAGAATCTGTTCATTATTTAGGGATCTCTACCATAGGGCACAATTCCCGGGCTCACGTTTTTGCTCTGGGAAGACTCAACTGTAGCATTTGCACATGTGAAATTACGAGCATTTGATGCCACAAAAGGGCAAGAGGTTTTGATTTGAATCTATCCACTTCAATCAACCCACCATTCTGTATACTCGTGAATTTGAGGGGTTTTGCCCAAGAAAACGCACCCTGACTGTTTGGTCACTGGAGCCCTCGATCAGGACCTCTGGGAACCAAGCAGCAGACACACACAGGGAACAGAAACAAGCAACCAACAACCAAAAGCTGGAGCCAGAAAGCAGAATGGCCACCTCACCTCCACAACACGTTCTCTCACGTCCACGAACAGCAACAACCGTTGGTACACGCAACACGCGTGAACGCCATTATCTTCACCCTGATTGAACGTTGCATACATGCATTTCGTGCCGAGTAGTCTCTCCGCTAGTACTTTGTACAGGTTATGAGCGAGGAAAAAGCCTTCATTTATTGAAACTTCGGAGACTCAAGACTAAATTGAGTCAGGATTGTCTCCAGCTAGTCAAACCAGGTTTTCTTTGGGTCAGCTGACTAAAAAACCTCCCGGAATTGGGACTCGGCCCGGATTTGAACCTGGTTTCTAATCAGCATGTACAACTCCCTCGACAATTTTGAGATGACTCCAGCTAGTCGAGCCAGTTAGTTTGACCAGATTCACTACCCAAGGCTTCAGATGATCTCACGCGCACGTCGCCAGGGAAATGTCGCCTCTCAGACACGCCACAAGATGGTATGGCATTTTACAAGATAGTATCTTCTTACCTGAATAGTTACGTCGTGGGAAATTTCCCCCAATGCCTCACTGCAACTGTTGAATTTCCCCTCCCTTCAGCGGATCTTTCGCTCTCGGCTATCAGGTTGTCGCTCTCTCTCTCCGCTCACCCTTTCACGACCCCCGCATGCTTCAGTCACTTCCATTACAGTCCCCCCTCGTGAACCGGACTAAGACTCCTGTTTCTCCGTACCCCTCCCTTCCCTTCATTCCAGGCTGCCTGTTACAATCACAGCCATGTTTATTAGCACCGCCTTGATCTGGTTCCCTTTGACTTCCTCACGAGACACCAATCTACACCTCGGCAATAGACTAGGCAATAGCCTCGACAATAGGCTCGGCAATAGACTCGGCAGTAGGCTCGGTGAAGGCCTCCATCAAGAGCCGTTCAACCTGAGTCAAACAACGGCTGTCCATAAATCGTCCGGACTAGCACTCGATCCTTCCAAGGAATTTCCGACTCAAGCTGTATCTAACGGCAGAAGAAGTCTCCTTAGCAGCAGGTCTATTTTTGAGAATTCTCAGGAATTTCCGACTCAAGCTGTATCTGATGTTCTCCTTAGCAGCAGCTCTAACGGCAGAAGAGCTCTCCATTCGGACCTCCCCCACCATCTGAGCCAATCCCAACAGGGACCGGAAGACGCGGAGACAGACCCATGGCTGGAGAGCCTGTGTCTGGGAACTCATAATAAGAACTGCGATTGGGGTCACAGGGGGGAAGGGACACGCTCTCGAGCTGGGAGTATCCG